AATGCGGAATCTCCTCTATTGTCCACAAAAAGAATTGAAAACAACGCAGCAGCTCCACCAAATGTAGAACTATGTTTTCTAGCTAAAAGAAACCCCAAGCACTGAAATTTGGGGCTAGAACTATGATTTACTGAACAGACAGAAACTTCGCGCATTGCGATTCAGATATAATTCTTCAATGACTAAACTCTTTGAATGAGCAAATCAAATTGCAGCGTCCAGTGTACCTGCTACAGATTCATTTTGCTGCCCAAAGGAATAATAAGTACAGCATGCAAAACAAATAATGAATATGACCTATTTCAAAGATTTCATCAGTATGCCCCAGAGTTCATCGCAAATCACCCACTGAAGGACATTGCAATAACAAGAATGTTCTTCACAAATCACCCATTTTGTTTTGGACCAGGTTTGCTTTGAAGATCAAGGAAAATAAATATGCCTAAAAGGTAAAGGGGCAACTGCGAGAGATAGTATAAAGAAATGTGTCACCAAGCGAGTAAAGAGAACATCAATATGATTAAAGACTGCGGGCAATTAGGTAGCCTTGTTTAATTTACAAGCTCGCCCATAACTTTCTAGCCTACCTTTTCTAACTTCTAAGGAGGTTTTGCAACGCTGCCTTACCTAGACACATCTTGCACACTCGACTTTGAGGAGACGAGGACTGATTGCTACTCTAAATCACCACTAACGATTTTTTGTTTGTCTATGTCTATATAGCCCCCTGTAGCAAACAGCTTGCACCCACGTAGCAAATTGAGCAAGACCTGAAGCATATGGAAAAGGCAGTCTGCAATCTGGACTCACGCAACACGACTCGGACTCAATAAGTTGTAGACATACTGTTCTGATGCAGTGAACAAATATAATGCAACTAGACGACTAAGGAATGGCAAGTAGCGAACTGAAAAGGACAGAAACATTTAAAAATGAAAAATGAGCACTCCTGCATTCAAAACTCGACATAGAATTGGTTGCCCATAACTTAAGTACAGGAAAATAGTAGTGAAAAGATGCACTATGCATGGAAGGTTGGAAGTAGAGATGACCTGGGAAGTTGCTGTGACACAATGCATGCCCCGTACGGGAACTCCAACAACGCGCCCACTTGTCACAATGAAATCCAATAATCAGAGAGTCCCAATTACCAGCAGCCCAAAAGAAAAATAAAACCTTGGTAAAGATGTTTCACCAGCTATGTCTGGTGAGTTCTTTTCACAGTTATTACATGCTAGTACTACAGCTTTATCACAATATTGCTTGCTCCTCAGGCTTACTTGAGTACACATAAGTACATTCAGCAAAATGTGAAGCATCCATTCTTCAAGCATTTATGACTGGACCAAAGGAAGATGAACACATTCAACTCATCCTGTAAATGGGAAAAGGACATAGGAGAGTTTTGCAGAAGTACAGCAGACAGTGCATATCCAGAAGTGTATGTGTATCAGCGTATGCTCTCATATCTCAACTAGTTATCTGTAAACAGAATAACTAATATATGATGCCTAACTACAACAAAATCACCGCCAAGAAAATGACCAAAGTTTTAGTTTAGTGTGTAAAACGATTTTTCTGAAAATATTATTCTTTACAGAACCAAGCTGCGTGACTTTTACTCATGATATTATGCCTTGTGAAATTTGATCCGCTATCTTCACTTCTTCAGATACCCAGAACTGTAATTCTCTTACGAAGAGCCTAATAAAACCCTGAGTTCACAGTTTACATACACGAATAGCTTATTACTATGAGTATCATGCAACAAAATACTGAACAAAATGATATGAGATTATCACAGGTGAGTATAATGTAGAAGTACTCCCCCTAAATTAATATAAGACGTTTTTTAGACCAACCATAAGTCTAAAAAATGTCTTACATTAATGAACAGAGATTGTATATGATAAATTCCCTACAGAGGTCTTAACTTTTGTATTTGGTGTTTTCTAATTAACAAAGATAGGCCTCAATTTATGTGCTAAGATCTTATTAGCCAGGTGGGGTAATCATACATCCTTGCAAGACGGAATTCTTTATCAAGTCATACACAAGTTAGCAAGCACAATGCACAAGAACTATTGTGATATTGCCTAGTATTGCAAACAAAGAGTGTCACTGTATAAAGAGTCATGTGTAAACTCATGAACAAAGGATCTACGTCATGAATGATATCATTGCAAGAGAGGCTAACTTCCACTCCTGCCTTCATGAACAACTTTATAGTGATTGAAACGATGAGATGAATACAGATGTTTTTGGCTAAGCTGTGAATTCATTATTTGTTAGTTCACCATTTTGCTACATGTTGGATAAGGATTAAGTTAAACTCGGTTTCACGAGCCAGTTGCGACAAAAGGATACATGGTGCATATGCTAGATAGCAAACCAACAAGTATGCTACACTCAGACATCACCATGAAGTAATGTAGTAATGTCTTAACACAAGAATTGAAGAAGGTTATACCATAGACCCCAGACAGCTATATAAGCATGACAAGGTCACCGTATAGCAACATCTTTGAACTGCCACAAAACAAAGACAGTTATTTCTAAGAACAAATTAAAATGTCTGAGAGTTCATCAAACATTTCTCCCCACAAGGTCACAACTAAATAACATTCCCAAGTAATTCCTGTTCCAACATGTTGCAGCAATTTAACTGCTGGTCTTTTTAGGAGAACGCGGATACAATCATTTATTTCATCAACCTTGAAAACAATCGGTTTCTTAGAATGAAAAATAGCATCTAAAAAAGAGTAAGTATTATTCAACACCCACATGAGAGCAAGTATGATCAGCTGATTCCAGATAGCTGGGCGTCAGTACAAAGCCCAGGCAAAGCTTTTGCCAAATTCAAGAGGCATGACCCCATCCTAGAGAGTTTTAAATATAGCAGAATCAAACAAATGCACAAGTATCACTGCTTTTAAGCATGCAAGTGCAGAAGATAGGTACTAACTTGTAAGATAGTGGATACCTTCACATCGTTATTCACATCCTTTCACAAATCCCAATGTTGTGTGGCTCTAAGTTCCGCGTGGCATGCTTGCAGGATAAGGTGCAAAACCAAAGCACTGAGATGTGGTATGACTTTTCCACTTTCATATAAGAGCATCTTAGAATTTTCACAAAGATATCCCACCCAGGTCTCCCAGGTTGGCCCCATAAACTACACCAACTTCTTGGGTGCACTATTAGATTATTTCAGGAAATCATCATCCGCATGATATCTGAACACCGCCACGCCCCCAGCTCCTACCACTTTCAAGCCAAAAATCAGCTAGCTGAAAAAGTTACACAATCTATCTCATCCCTCAGAGCCACTTATGATTTTGAATGACCTAAACATTAAAAGACAGACCTCGATACCACCAATAATCAATTATAAACCCGGTCACACTTTCAACATTTTTTAGCATTCCAGCTAGATAGCCATTTCCTAGATATTGACTTGTTGCACAGATATCATCAGTGCACCGTCTCAAATCTACCATTATTAGGAAAAAATTGTTGCCACTATTGGGTGGAGCTAGCTCCCACCATCTGCAATTCTTCTTCCACGAAAAGACAACGTCATTTTCTATCTGTACAGACATACAGTGTTTGTCTCACAAAAAACAGAAAGATAACCCGGGATCATGCAATTAAATATATTGGTCAGAAAAGTGAGAAGTAGGAGAATTAGCTAATTACCTCCAGAGGCTCCACATTAGATAGAAATGCACAAACATTGGTACAAAATTTCCATGATCTTGAAGCTCAAAAGGAGCAAGCATTCATGGAATCAGCACCCAAGCTTCTATATGTTGGCATGAAGGGAAGATATGCCACATTGCTGCCCTTTGCACCAGCTCAACTGAACAAAGAATCAGCATACTGAATACAGTGAGAGCAAGTTCACGAGGATTCATGTTGAAATACTTTCTATACCACTACTCCTGCCAAGCTGTATACTGAAATATGTTCACCTATTACTAACATCAATCAAGATGAACATACACACAGAATATGACCATGAAGATAGTAGTTTCTGTAAAAGTTAGTACCACTTCCCTAAAATAGCTCTTTCAGAATCTAACATGCTATGCTGAGGTAAACAAGATAGCATTGCAAAGGGACAACACATACTTGAAGGAAGATTCACCATACAAGACAACATCATCTCCGAAAGATTGCACATACATCATCGCTACAGTCTGAAAGAGTGGCTATATTGTAATGAAGTTCGCATGACCACATGATTCATATCTTTATAACAGGAAAGTACATTTCCATGCTGCATGTAGTATTATCTAAGCCCAAAACATAAGTTTACTTATTTGACCAATGGAAAAAACAGATAAGGTCCATGGCAGCTGTAGTTTATACGACTTTATCTGCCATAACATAACTTTAATGGTAGGGCAATAGTAGATTATAGAAAACCTTGCTTCATCAGAATGCTCCTGTACAGACTATACCTATATAGTAGAAAACAAGAAACCTAGACGAAATAAGGCAATAGCGATTTTTGAGACTATCCAAGGGAGCTCGCCTCATGCAGACAACACCAAGGTATCTTATAATCAGGCAGTAACTTACCAATCCAAAGGTACAGCAAAATCTATGCACGGTCCAGGATCTGAAATCAGTTGTCCAGTTTGTCCCTCGAAGAATGTAGTCAGTCCTGTTCCTATGGTGTAAGCATATTTGTTTCATATACATGATTTCTCAGCAGCAACTTATACATAAGCTAACTACAAAGAGATGACTGATCAAGCTAATCACAAAGCTATTTAGGGAGAAAAGAGGTAGCAGTAGAAGAGGCAAAGATGCAGATCTTGACACCTCACATTTTAACCATCTTGCCAGAATATCTGAAGTACAAATTTGCGAAAATGTTCTACCATACTCTGTATGTGTCCCAGATTTGTATTCATGCTTGTTGCCTAACAGCTATAAATGTAATGATTTAGAAGAAATAATCGGACTACAGCACTGTTGCTAATTTCAAGCTAAAATCTGATGAAGACTTCCGAGTGCAATGGCTGGGCCTGAGAACTATCATGCCCACTGAAAACTATCTGGGTGCCTGCTGAAGCTCTTTCAAGAATTTCTGCCTTTCGAAAAAGGGGCAGCACATCTGACTGAATCTTTCGTAGCCCTTGTGGGTGATCCTCTTTAGGAGCAACCAGGAACAATTTCTTAAGGCAACTAGCCTTTGTCAGCAGAAAGTCCAGCAGACGCATCTCATTGTGATGCCCCTTGAAGTTTGTCATCTTGGCCAAGCGAAGGTTTTCTAATCCATCTTCAGGCTGTTCTTCCTCTGCCACGTCCAAGTAATTCCTCGTGAAGGAATCATGGGTGTTTGTTGGTAGCTGTCACATCAAGTGCCATATATTGAGAATCAAAACATCCAGACATCATGCATAGTAGTACATATAATGAATGGACTATGACCAAATACATTGCGTATGAAGATAACAACCTGCACGAAGAGCCTCTCCAACTGAGGACAGGAACAGGTCTTGAGGAAGCTAAAAATGTCTGCGAGGTTGGAGTTGGCCATCCCGAACATGAGCAATTGAAGCTCCTTCAATCTCCGGAGGTTGGTCTCCTTGACGATGGTGGCTAGTGACGCAGACACGTACTAGAGGTAGAGGTAGAACAAGTATAAGCGTATAGGCAACGGAAAGTGCTTCACAAGGAAATGGAATAGATGCCGAGACGAACCTGGAGGGCAATGCTGCATATGGTGAGGGTGGTGATGTTGGCAAGGTGAGGAACCGCCGAGGGCAAATTGGTGGGCGGCAAGCCGGCCTCTGGCCCGCCCGAGCAGAGGTAGAGATCCTGGAAAGAGTCTCCGACGCCAGAGAAAAGGTTGCTGCAGAGGAAGGGTCCGCTGAACCGGAAGGAACGGAGGCGGGGCGCCGCCGGGACCCGCAGCTCGGTGGTGCGGGAGCAGTCGACGACGGTGAGGCTCCTGAGGTTGGCGGCCCCGACGGTGGTGAAGTCGATGCGGCGGAGGTGGCGGCAGTAGCGGAGCTCGAGGTCGCGGAGGCAGGGGCAGGCGGCGACGACCCGGCGCAGCGCGGCGTCGGTGATGGAGACGGAGTGGAGGTGGATGACCTCGAGCGTGGCGACCATGGCGTTGGCGGAGGCCGTGAGGTGGAGCCCGCGCACCGAGAGGTGCGCGAGGAGCGGGCTCCCGACGGGGAAGTGCACGGCGAGCGCGCCGGCGCGGCGCTGGCCCCCGCGCGCGCCGCGGGCGCCGCCGCCGTCGAGGCGGAGCTGCAGGTCCTCGACGCCGCAGGCCGCGGCGTAGTCGACGCAGCGCTTGAGGTCGGCCTGCGACAGCTGGCCCGCGTGGAAGGTGAGGGAGAAGACGTCGACCCGGCGCCGCCCGCGCCGGTCCACGGCCGCGAGCTGGGCCTGGGCCCCCGAGGGGCCCGGCGGGACGCGGAGGCGCAGCGAGGAGGGCACCGGCCAGCGCTGCTCCCAGAGGTCCCGCCACCGCGAGGAGAGCGCGCCGGTGCGGATGGCGCACTTGAGCGGCAGCAGGCTGAGAATCTGCAGCCGCAGCGCGTCCGGGAGCTCCGAGATGCGGTCCTCCCACCCCGCCGCGCGCCGCCGCTCCCGCTCCATCCTCCTCGGCCTCCTCCTCCTCCTCCTCCTCCTCCTCTTCCCTACCCCGTCCGCATCGACCGGGATTCGCTCGCAGGGGGGTGGTGATGGGCCGGCCGCGTGCGCGTGCGTGCCGCTGGGGTCACTGGACTAGGACGGCGAGGGCGAAGGGGGAGGGAGAGACGTGTGGAGGCGTCTCGCCGGGCCGGTGCGGTGCGGTGCGCGTTGCGTCTCCCCTTCCAATCCCTCTCCTCCTCTCCCCTCCTGGCCCGTCCCTCCTCTACCACTCTTCTACCTTTGTTTGGTGCGCCGGTCAGCAGTCCGTCCCTCCGTCCCTCCCTCCCTCCCCGGCCCGCGTCGCGTTGCCGTTGCGTTCGCATCGATCGCATCGATCGCGTCGCGTCGCGTCGGGCCCTTTTGGTTCTGGCCTCGTGCCCGGTCGCCGACCGCGCGGGATCGCCCCGTTTCACACGGCGCGTTCGCCCTGCCGGTTTTTTTTTCCTCCTTCTCTCGCGCTCGCCAGCTAGCTGCTTTCCGCGGCCTCGTTGCTTCTTTTCCGAAAGGAACTTTGGGAGGAGTAGTAAGGCCTTCTTTGGTTTCAAATATGTCACCAACTTATAAGTCGAAAAGTGAAAAAAAGTGACTTATTTTGCCAAACAGACCAAACTTATAAGTCACCCCAACTTATAAGTCATAAGTTGCTCCACCCCAACTTAAAACTTATAAGTCACCTCCTTTTGCATGGGTCCCACCACCTTTACATAAAAAAACAAGATGGGAAGGTGTGCTCAGGTGACTTATAAGTCAGATGACAATCAAACAGGCGTGACTTATAAGTTACTGGTTTTAAGCCACCTGACTTATAAGTCAGGTGACTTATTGGAACCAAACAGGCCCTAAATCATTTCTCTCCGCCTCCGCCGTTTGGTTCTCTGCGCTCGTTTCACACCCTTTCGGAGGCCACCTCCATTTCTATGTTTTTCTTGCCCTTTCTAAAAGGGGGAGATCCTTTCGTGCTCGCGTGACCCGTTGTTTAGTCAGTGCTAATTGAGTTTAGTCACGGCTAATGGAGCTGACCCACCTAGTGACCCCAAGTATCTTTTTTCTAATGAAATTGTGACCCCAAGTATCTTGGGGATGTGACGAAACCACGACGAAGACATGTCGTGACAGTCAAGAGGCGTTATTTGATTGGGTTGTGGTAATACATCATTTATTTTTAATAATCACCGGGTCGTGGGACATCTCGAAATAGGTTTTCGCCCCGCTTTATAGATAAAATATACGTCCATACAACCAAGTCTCAACCATAGTCATAAAAGAAAACGGCTAGAGTCACAGCACAAACACGCCCAAATGAAAGAAGAAGAAACATAAAAAGGCCGCCAGGGCAAGCTACGAAGCAGATCAACGGTCGAAGAGCCGACCCGCGGAAGACAACAGAGCGTCCAGATAGAGCTGAAGCCGGTCACGATCTCTCGGTCTAGCGAGCGGATGCCAGTGCTGCAAGAAGGCAAAAAAATTGAAGAACGACTCAGAAGCACGCCACGGGAACACCCGCTCAATCATCATCTTATTGCGACTAGTCCAAGGAGTCCACATCATAACCGCGAAGATACGCCAGAACAGTCGGCGCTTACGGCCAACCTGAGTGGCCCTTACCTGCAGAAACTCTGCAAGGTCATGGGCCTCCCACTCCGGACCCAGAGCCTCACGAATAAAGCACCAAAGTGCATGTGCTGCTACACATGAGAACAAAATGTGTGTTCCTGTTTCCGGGACGAGGCAAAGGGGGCAAAGGCCATTGCCCGGACCATGGCGTTTCAGCACCTCGGTACCCGAAGGTAAATGATCTCTGAGAAGCTGCCACACGAAAATCTTGATCTTCAAGGGCATCGGCGCCTTCCACAATGGGATAACCACTGGAGAACCGGCAGCCGGCATAACGCCTGATAAGCGGAACTTACGGAGAATTCTCCTGAAGGAGAAAGACTCGAAGAAATAGTGACAGGATCCTGGGATAGAGGAAGAGGGGCTACTTCCCTCAAGTCTGCCTATTCCTGCACCTCAGCTAGTCCGAATGAGCGGTGGAATGCAATGTTCCATCCCTCATCCAAAGCAGCCGCAAAAACAAGAACAGTCGGGTCGTCACAAATCGCAAAGAGCCTCGGAAAACCGCATGCGGAGAGGCTCCCACTACTAGGGAAAAGGCTAGCAGCAGCGCAGCGCTACTAATAAGGCGCTACAGCTAACACGTAGCAGTAGTGCGTGCTCACCAGCGCTACTGCTACACAAGTGTAGCAGCAGCGCGCTTAATGGAAGCTCGCTACTGCTAATAGCTATAGTGCGCTTCTCCTGTGCGCGCTACTGCTACTACCGCGCTGCTGCTAACTTTTCTCCACTCGCTACTGCTAATTTTAGTTTTTTTCGGCATATTTGTTTTGTATTTGAACAGGCTTTATAGAAGAATCTTTAGCACATACAAATGTCATCATGATACACATACAAATGCCTGCGAGACCACAAATGTAATCATAGCATATGCATACAAATAGTCTCATCATAATCATCATCCAACACAAAGTGGTATCTTGTCATCATCTCGAAAATAGCGATACATGCAAGTCTCGAATACTTGCAACTACAATGTCATCCATCTAAACAAAGGTATACGCGAGAAGAGCTATCACTATGAGTGAGAGCGGAACTATGCAGTACATGAGGTGGCGGTTACGAGTCCTCTCTCGCGCTAGTGTGAGCCTCAAGTAACTAGCTTCTCCTTATTGTCTGCTTTTGAAGCCTTTATGGCTGGCGCCCGAGAACCCATTCACTTGCGCCTGACACTCATGTCACTCGTTGTACACCCCCGGAACCTTCCCTTTGTACACGACATAGCACTTCCATCTCGCCATCAAGAAACTAGGTACCTGTTAGAGATGCATGTTCATGAAGAGGATGTGCAATCATATATATGCAACAAAATATACTAGAGCAACACCGAAAAAGAAAGGGTTAGCAACTAGATGCAACATACAGTACGCAAATTAATTAACTAGAGGTACGCAGGTCATCATACGCAAACTAACAAAGTAGCGTTATGCAAGTTCGGTAGGGACCATGGACATCACAAAGTTTCATCGCTACAAAAAGTATACAAGTTCAACCGACACATATCATCATCATCGGCATCATAAATCACTAGAAGTTCCATCCTTCCATATCTTCGAGGATGGACCCTAGCTTCTTGAACGACGTGAGGTCTAGACGTTGCATGCCTATGCGAGTTCAGACGTCGGCTCGTGATATAGGGTCGTGGTGGAACATCCCCTTCTCATCGACGACTTATTTCATGATGATCGTCGCAATGTCGCTTTGGATGCGAAAGAAGTCATCTCTAAGTTTATAATCCGCTTCTCCATGAGATTCTAGCCACTTGTGGATATGATCATCATTTCTGCTTCTCATGCGAAGCTTTTGGTGATCCGTGTTGAACTGAATCATGAGATGGACGATGTAGAATTCATCCTTCTTGCTTGGTTTTGGGACATGGCTGCAGGAGAAGTTAGTTTTATGCGCGAAACCCATCTTCTTGTTCCTTTGTTTCCTGATCTGCATGTGGCCACCTCTAATGCTGAAGCCTTAGAGAGCATCATCTAGAATATTCATTATGTGGGTGTAGTCTTTTTTCTCGTAGTCTCTGGAAGGGTCAAAATACACGGCGTGGGAGACTTGCGGGTAAAGAACGATAAGGACGGCGCGCCCGTTGCTGCGGGGAAAAGACACCTCAAATTATTCCCCATATGAGAGAGAAGGAATGATTGAAATGTACGAAAGGGTTGTCCGGAACTGACTTACTTTGGATGATAAGGCACGAGAACAATTTCCCGGTCCTTATTATGTACCATGAAGTTTTGGAGGTACTCCCTAGCAGTTTCACGCTCAAAGTCGCCGAGACTCAAGAAAGACTCGTGCATGTAGTACGAATCCGCCACACAGATTTCCAAGACTTCTTCACTCTTCATGACGGAGCTCATATGTAGCACAAAAAGGCGGGCGATTATAAAATCGAGCCGCCTTGTCAGAAACATCTCAAAGATATGGTCAAACCGCAGGAAGAACACCTCCGCGGGTCATGTTTCGATGTAGCACTTCCCCTCAAGCACACGAGCCGCGTATGTCAGATATCCTGGATCCTTTGAGGCTAGTAGGCTTTTCTTAGTCGACAGCACATGGTCGTGCAGTCTCCTGAGATCCCCTAATAGTGCCTGTCGGTGTCAAAACCGGTGGATCTAACTGTGCGTCTAAGGAGGATGGTAATAGGAGGTAGGGGACACAATGTTTTACCCAGGTTCGGGCCCTCTTGATGGAGGTAAAACCCTACGTCCTGCTTGATTAATATTGATGATATGGGTAGTACAAGAGTAGATCTACCACGAGATCAGAGAGGTTAAACCCTAGAAGCTAGCCTATGGTATGATTGTATGTTATTATGTCCTACGGACTAAAACCCTCCGGTTTATATAGACATCGGAGGGGGCTAGGGTTACACAAGGTCGGTTACAAAGGAGGAGATATCCATATCCGTACTGCCTATCTTGCCTTCCACGCCAAGTAGAGTCCCATCCGGACACGAGACAAAGTCTTCAATCTTGTATCTTCATAGTCCAACAGTCCAGCCAAAGGATATAATCCGGCTACCCGGAGACCCCTAATCCCGGACTCCCTCAGTAGCCCCTGAACCAGGCTTCAATGACGATGGGTCCGGCGCGCAGTGTTGTCTTCGGCATTGCAAGGCGGGTTCCTCCTCCGGACATATCACAGAAGAGTTTGAATACAAGGATAGTGTCCGACCCTGCAAAATAAGTTCCACATACCACCGTAGAGAGAATAATATTTCCACAAATCTTAATCTGCTGACACGTTTTGGCAACATGACATCATGCCATGGCTCGGTGATTATTCGAACCGTTTTTCTTCAACCAGCTCCACACATAACGCGAGGCGGTTTCTTGACACGTCTT